ACTATCTTTTAGTGCATCTTCTACATTCTTAGGTTCAAATTGACTAACGAACGCATAGTGTGCACAAAGATTGTAATTGTTCCTAGTTCTAACTCCCTTTTCAATAACTCCAATGATAGTGTCTCTTGGATGATTCTTCAAGTGTTTGTATGCCTTCGGTAGTTCCTTCTTTGCACTTTCTTCTTCTTGCGCAGGAATTTCCAGGATTTCCTCTTCCTCTTCTTCTTCATTTGAACCTGCAATTACCTTACTCGACCCAAAGGGATCGGTTTCATCAAATTTTACATGCATAGATTCTTCTACTTTATGATTTGATTTATTATATACCCTATAGGCTCTACTATTTGTTGAATAACCAAGGAAAATTCCTTCATTTGATTTAGGCTCAAATTTGCCTAAATGATCCTTGGTATTCAAAATATAGCATTTACACCCAAAAACTTTGAAATAGGAAATATTTGGTTTTCTACCTTTCCAAAGTTCATAGGGAGTCTTTTTAATAATAGGTCTAAGTAATGGGTTAAGGAACAAAATAGGAGTAAAACATTGATTAAAATCCAAAATAGGAGTGAAAACATAAAACCCCAAAATAGGAGTTTCGTGGCAAGAACAACTCACTTAAAAACATAAACAATCACGACCATGCATTTGGTAGCCACTTTCTTCATCTTTAATAATAGACAAGTTAAGCAATATCAACCTTAATCACACCCTTCTCAAATGGGGTCTTAAAAGAAAACCCCCTCTGGAGCCCATAAACTACCCCATATAAAAAGGTTTACCAGATGCTGAGAGGTATACTGCAGCCAAGATCTGCCACTTTCATCACCCCTTGCTCCTGTTATCGTTGCACGGTGTCGACGTTGCTAACCCCCACAGGTGTAGTGCCATGGTGTTACATGGAGAAAAAATAATTCATACAGTGTCAATCGAAAATACAATGCTAAAAATGACAACATACAGTGACAAACATGACATTGTAAAATGCAAAAATACAAAATTTTAGGTCAATTGCAAACAAAATACCAAAGATGTCAATGCACAGTGACAAACTTGGCTCTGCAAAATGCCAAAAATTCAATTGTACTCGGTGATACATGTGCATGCATCGAGCCCACGAAGGCATTAATTATGGGAAGAAGACAATTAAAATAAACAAACACACAATCTCTCCGTTGTTAGCTATGCCCAAAACAAAAAAAAAAATCCCACCCCCACCAATAATAATAATAAAAGAATCCCAAAAAAGAAAAAAAAAACAAATAGAAATAGTTTGGATTATGGAAAGAAGACAATTAAAATAAACAAACACACAATAATCTCTCCATTGTTAGCGATCTATCCCAAAAAAACAAAAAACAATTCCACCCCCACCAATAATAATAAAAAAAGAATCCCAAAAAAGAAAAAAGAAAACGAATAGAAATAGTTTGGATTGAAGAAGTAATAGCTAGCCATATATTAGCATCTATGCATGCATGAGAGTTATCATTAGTCAAACATTGTGTGTCATATATGTTCATTTAATTCCCGCAAAGTCAGTGAACGGGTGGCTCCCGGCGGCTAAACAATTGTACAACAAAAATATTTAATTACTCCTATTTAGAAGGGTTTAAGTTTGAACTCCTACTTTGAGGATATAACACATGTTTTACTCCTATTTAAGGGGTTTTCTTCTAAGTAATACCCGATTAAGAACGTAGCATGCCGTGTTGACCGCTTCTCCCCAAAAATATTGAGGTAGGTTGTGTTCATTCAACATGGTCCTTGACATTTCTTGCAACGTCCTATTTTTCCTTTCAATGACTCCATTTTGTTGAGGTGTTCTAGGAGCCGAGAAGTTGTGAGAAATACCGTGTTCATCACAATATGTCTCAAAGTCGGTATTTCGGTATTCTCCTCCTCGATCACTTTTAATGGAGGTTATTTCATAACCTTTCTCATTTTGGATTCTCTTGCACAATTTAACAAACGCATTAAAAGCATCATCTTTATTGGCAAGTAATATAGTCCAAGTATAACGAGAAAAATCATCTACAATTACAAAAGTAAAACTAGCTCCACCTAGGCTTTGAACGTCTACGGGCCCAAATAAATCCATATGTAATAGTTCAAGTGGCCTTGACGTTAAAACCATTTTTATGGGCTTAAATGATACTTTATGTTGTTTTCCAAGGGAGCAAGCATCACAAAAACGAGAAGTAGGTATGCTCATTTTTGGTAGCCCAACAACAAGTTCTTTTGAGTAAAGTTTTCTCAAAAGATCATAACTAGCATGTCCTAGTCTACGATGCCATAGAGTTGAAAATTCAAG